TACTATGGCTCTTAGTCTTTGCCTATAGTGATAACAACCCCTCTATGTATAATAGTGATAGGCTGATCTTTAGCTTTTCCTGGCTCATCATAGGTTAAACGAACTACTGGTTTGATCTGTCTCTTAGGCCTTAGTTTAGGAGTGTCACCCAACAAATTACGGTGTGTATTTGGTTTCTGAGCTTTGGCAGACCGGGCTAATCTGGGATCCAGATCAGGTTCTGGGGCAGAATCTTGATCATCTTCTTCATTTTGGTCAGACTCCTCCTGAATATCCACCATGTGGTCGGGCTCAGTCTCACTGTCCCGATTAACGTCTTCATCCTCCAGTGGCAGTTCCTCCTTTTCACTGCGCTGATCAGAATCAGTTTCATCACTGACGTCATCCTGGTCACTTGCGCAATCCTCTTGTGGCACTGCTTGAGATCTAAGAGTCTGTCTTAATGCTTCTCTCACTCTTTCTTGAGTGTAGTAGTATCTCTGAGGCTCATAGTATTCACTCTCTGAGGATGAATCAGAATCCTGTGACAGCTGAGGGTCAGACGCAACTGTGGCCTGCTTTGGTTTCTTGCCCTTTGGTTTTTGTCTGTCACAACAGTTATTGCTTTCTTCAGGGATTGGCAATTTCACATGTTGGCCAATAGGAAGGATATGGTCTCTGTGGATTGTTTTCAGACAACCACTCCCATTCTCTTTCTTTAGTTGGTAGACAGGAAGGTTGGGCATTTTTCCAACAACTTGGTAAGGTATTGGACTCCATCTTGTTTGCAACTTGTGCTTCCCTTTGAGACCCCAGTTCTTCAGTGGTACTCTGTCTCCTATTTCTAGAGACTGGAAACAAACTCTCTTGTCATAGCCCTTTTTGTTCTTCTGATGGACTTTGTCTACCGTCTCGGATGCTAGCTTGTAGGCTTGACGGAGATCTTCTTTAAGCTTTGACACATAGCGTGAGTGACTTTTCTCAGCTTTGTCAATTGTGGTCCCAAAGCACAAGTCCACTGGCAGTCTGGCTTCACGGCCAAACATTAGGAAGTATGGCGAAAAACCAGTTGCATCACATTTTGTACTGTTATAAGCATGGACCAAATAAGGGACATGCTGGCTCCACTGGCGTTTCTTTTCTGTGCTTAGAGTACCCAACATTGAAAGCAGCGTTCGATTGAACCGCTCTGGCTGAGGGTCTCCTTGCGGATGATACAGAGTAGTGCGCGACTTCTATCCCCATGTTCGTCAACAAGTCTTTGATCAGACGACTCTCAAAGTCTCGCCCCTGGTCTGAATAGATACGCGCCGGAAGACCATAGTGGACGAAAAACTTATCCACTAGGGTTTTGGCCACTGTTTGAGACGTCTGATTCTTGGTCGGGAATGCCTGGGCGTAGCGCGTAAAGTGATCGGTGACCACTAAAACATTTCTCATGCCCTTGGAATCCATCTCCATTGAGAGAAAGTCAATGCACACCAGATCCATAGGTCCACTGCTGGAGATCTGGTGAAGCGGTGCGGCTCTCTGGGCAGGAGTCTTGCGTGTTATGCATTCACCACAACTTTTGATGTGGTCCTCAGTGTCCTGGAACATTCTTGGCCAGTAGAACCTTCGACGGAGTAAATCCAGAGTTCTCTCTATGCCCAGGTGTCCTGAGTCATTGTGTACTGATCTCAACACAACATCATGATACACCTTTGGCAGGACTAGCTGACGGACCTCCTCCCCTGAGGGACGTTTGGTGATGCGATAGAGCAGACCGTCACTCAGCAGGGTCAGCGTATCTTTCTCTCTTTTTAAGAGCGACAGCTCCGGACTGTTGTCTGTCCATAAATTCTGTTGGACAGCTTTGACCGCTGGACCAATGACTGGATCCTCTCTCTGTGCCTTAGTGAGATCAGCTTTTGAGACGTGTTCCAGTGACTGTAACTCCATTGTAAGAGGAAATGCATAGATGTCAGGGATGCATTCCGGGGAAGCCCCAGTTTGGTCGACACATCTGGTGGGAAACCCTGGGCTTTCTGAAACTTGTACTCTTTTGCAGATGGATTTAACAGCTGCCTCTGGTATAGTCTCCCATTCAGCATCAGTGTCAAAGTTTCTGGAGAGGATGTCTGCATCTATGTTATGCTTGCCTGGTCTGTAATGGACATCAAAGTCATATGTGGACAAAGCAGCTAACCATCTGTGTCCCACGGCATTGAGCTTTGCCGTAGACAGAACATAAGTCAAGGGTTATTATCTGTTCGCACTGTAAAGCGCGCCCCATACAGATAGTCATGAAAGCGATCCACCACAGCCCACTTTAATGACAGGAACTCCAGCCGATGTATGGGGTAACTCTTCTCAGCCTGACTTAACTTCCTGCTGGCAAATGCAACCGGCCTTAGGTCCCCTTCTTGTAGCTGGTACAGGACAGCCCCCAATCCCTTGAAGCTTGCGTCCACGTGGAGCTCATAGGGCTTGGTAGGATCAGCGAAGGCTAATACCGGTGCATGGGTTAGGCAGTGGATGATCTGCTGAAAGGCTTTGCTGCAGGAGTCATCCCACTGATCTCCAAAGGGTTCTGACTCTTTCAAGTAGGACTTGTTGATGTCTGGACTCTTTTTCTTGCTCTTTTGTGTCGGAGCATAGCCTTTGGTCAGTTCAGTGAGAGGTCTCACAATGGTAGCATAGTTAGCAATGAATCGTCTATAGTATCCGCAGAAACCTAATGATCTCAGAGACTTTAGGTCATGGGGCTGAGGCCAGGTGGTAACAGCCTCAATCTTCTGCGGATCAGGAGAGACACCTTGGGCAGACA